TTAAAAAAAAAAAAAAAAAAAAAAAAAAAAAAAAAAGATTTTATCAATATTCATTAGCCTCTTCTTTTGAATGTATCTAAACGTATTTGGATTTCAACACCTAGTCAGATGCATAATTAGCCAAATGGCTTCTTCACTTGAACTGAATGTTAATTTCCAGATTTCCGAAGGGATATGCAAACTGCTTTGAAGAATTGATGGGATGACAGGCAGTTGAGTATTTATTTCTTTTTCACAGTATTTAGAAAAACCAATTCCTGAATCAGATCCAACCTTGCTCCTTCTAGAGAACACAAGCTCAATTTTTGTGAAATTCTCTTTGTCTGGCAAAACTACACATCGGATATCATTCAAACTGTACAACTGAAGGCCGTCAAATTGTGATCGCTGGCATGAAGCATCCAAAAAGTTAGGTGTAGCATAAAAGACATTATTTTCCCTTAAGAGACCTATATGAGTAGTCGTAAGAACTAGAGATCTATACACAGTCTGCTTAGCACAGTCTATTTTCACTGTGGTATATAGCAGTACGTGAATGTCACCTAATGAAGGTTTAATACTTCCCATATTTTTATAGAGTAAGTAAGCCAGATCAGCTAATAGAGTTCTGAATTTACAGGACAATCGTACTCCATTTGAAAAAACTAAGTCATTTACTTCTGATGTCCAGTCAAGCGAAATCTGCATCAAATCATCTTTCAAGAGCTGGTGATTTAAATAAACGGCATCATCCATTGTAGAAATCAAAATGCTCATTATGTCATGGCAAATTCTTTGAGTGAAGTGTCTGTTATAGGTAAATATTGTCAGTAAATCATCTTCAGCAGAACACAGAAGACTAATACTCTGTCCAGCAAAGCCAACTTGAATCTCCTTTATCGTGACGATGGGAACTTCATGAAACATTGCCAAAGAACTCTGACAGACGTCTTGTTTGACTGACGAAACAACAACATACAGAACAGAGCTGAACAAAAGCAAGCAAGCAGGTTCTGGATCAGGTTTTTTGCAAGTGCCAACAGCGAGCCAATATACACCTTTCAACTCCTCCGTTCTAATACAAATTTGAGGTAAGGCACAGGTCAAAAATTCCAGCACTTTTTCCAGAGAACAGACCTGAAGCTTGAAAAAGACATCAGGAAAATGCACAAATTTCTGTCTTAACACAAGACTGTTTTCCAGCTCTTCATTTTTACAACAGCATGCAAATCCTTCAGAGGGCTTTCTCACACAGGCATCGGAGATTTCTGTGCTTACACACATTGTGATAGCCTCTTGCACAGGGGATTCAGGCTGAATGACATTTTCAGTATGAGCTTTGGCGTCATCAGTAGAGTGGGACATGTCTTGATTCGTATCTGACTTGAAGAATACATTTACTTGCAAGTTCCTTATAAATGGCAGATTTTTTATTAATGATACCGCTTGTGCGCATCTCTCACTTCTGTCACACAGACTTCCCAACTCCTTAATTTGTTTAGAAACCACTGTACTGTTGAGCAGCTGACTACTGGTGTCTTTGTAAAGGCAGGAAAGCTTACTGAAAAGATATCCCAAACCATAAGTGTGTTCTGGTCTCATACCAAAATGAGAAGCTATTGACTTAAAAGAAATCAAATCAGGGCCTTTTTGGGGGGGAAGCTGAGAATTACTAGATTGGTCTTCGATTGTCGGGTGCACTGTCTTAAATGGGCTGTTTTCTTTACAAGTTTTTATTTCAGAATGCACATTAGACTGAGAAAAGAGAAGGCACGATATGCTGTTAAAGCCAGCCTGCTCATTAGCACCCATTAAGGATTCTGCAGGAGACAACTGCTTCAAGTGGGAACAATCAGATTCAGTTCTTGAGCTGTCACAATCCCGAGAAGTCATTATTTTATCATCAAAATGATTGAAATTTTCAACCTTGCAGAGCGAATAAGCCGCATTATTTAAGTCATGACTTTGTAAAGTAGATAAAACATTCTGATAAGGAACATTCTTACTCTTTAAAGTCTTAATATTTTCAGAGTGAATGAAACTACTTTCAATGTCACAACGACAAGCAAAGCTCTCCTGTTCTGAATTACTCCTTTCATTCTCAAATGCCTTCTCGGATGTAAAAGGGAAGGAGATTCTTCCAGAATTGGAAAACAAATCCCACATCTCTGTATATTCCTTCTGTCTCTTTTGGTCTCTTATTCCTGCATTTTCTCCACACAACTCAGAAGCACAATTGACATCTTTAGACATAAATGGAAAGCCATCATGTGGCTGCCACTGTTGACTTTTCTGTTAAAAATTTCAAAAGAAGAAAATAGAAACGTCTTTATAAAACCTTCTGATTTGAATATTGCTTAAATTGAGGATTGATTTTGATTAAGTTTGTTCAATCATTCAAAACTGGTACAATCATTGTACAATCTCTCAAAATTAGAGAGAGAAAATCCAACAGAAGTGATTGAGGTCTGATTCAGGAATGGTTGATCTTCCCAGCCCACCACTGCTTTTCCATTGTACAGTATCCATTTCACTTGGTTTATACTTGCTTTACTCGAAAACCACAGGAAAGTCAAAGGGTGATGCAGAAATTTATAAGCCCTTTATTATTTTGCCACGCGTGCACAAAAAAGTAATCCTATACTACCCAAGGTAGCCTAAAAAGTCCAACACAAAAATAACAATGTAAAAGGCAAAAAAAGTCCAAATTAGAGCTGTTGCAACCCTCCTACTGTTAAGGTTTAAATCCATAAAGGTATTTAGGATTTACTCACCAAGACAAGTAATTAACCATGGTTCAAGCAAAAGTTAGGCAAGCAAATACAGTGGCAGGGGGCTAAGCATCAGTTTAAAAATACATGTATGAATCCTTCATGACATAGGCAAATTTGCCTGGTGCTACTTGATAATATTATAGACACCCTTACAGTAGTGAGTTCATTGTGAGTCAAAAATGCGAAGTGGTGTTCTGAATTCAGACAATCTGTCCTCATTAAATGCTTTTATCCTCTAAAAATGAGGAAAGGGATACTGTTCCAGATTAAGAACCATGACAAAACAAGGAAGAAACATCCACAATAACACAACACCTTTCAAATAAGGAAAAAGCTATGCCCAATCTGAAAAAAATCACTAATTCCAGCTGGCAAAATACATTGCTGTCTCTATTAGCCATTAATCATGCTGTGAATTCAAAATTCTAATTATGGAGCTAAACATTAAGAAATTTAATTACAGGGCATGCCATAATTTAAGACAACCATTTCATTCTGACAAATTATGACCTACCTCATACTTCAGCTTGCGTTGAACAGTGCCATTATTAAGCCTCTCATTATCCTAAGAACAAAAAAGGTATAGGTGATTATTAAAGAGAGCGCCTTTCTTGTATAAGTTCATTTAAAAGTAGTTATAGGAAGAGACATTCTTTTTAATAGCCAAAAATAACTATTTTCTTATTGATATTTATTAAGCCACTGGCTTAGAAGTCAATCAACCCAGTCTTTGGATGAATTAGATCACCAGTTTTTAAATGAACATTTGTTTGCAAGTATAAACAACTATTGTTCTTCTGGATGGAATTTTATAAATGTATTTTACAGACATAAAATGAAGATTTATCCGCAAGCTTCCTATTGCCATTTACACACTGTCCTGCAAAAAAATGGAATACAACATAAAACAGCCACTGGGAAAAAAAAGACGAGTGCAATCTAAAACTGATGTCCCTGATTTACTGTTTACTTTTTTGGTAAATTGAAATTAAGTAAACATAGGAAAACATGAAAATTATTGAACAACAAAACTAAATCAGTGGTTAGACATGGTGCATTGAAGGTGAGGATTTCCTACTCATCTCTGCTCACCTTTAAACTTTCTGTAGACCAGGACAGGCTAATATCATTATCCTCAGCTTTATGATGAATATTCTGGAGCCTTCTCTGCACTTCTTGTTCAATAAAGGCATTTATCCTTCAAGATATAGAAAAGTTAAAAAAAAATACTCTTAGATAAAAATCAAGACAGGCTAAAGGGCTCTTTGAAACGCTTATGAACTCTAAGTACTGCACAACTCTTAACTGGCAGGCTTAATGTTAGACCAGTTTTATCCCTCCTTGAGGAACATGGACTTTTGAGCAAGTGTTCATTTAATAGGCAAAGGTTAACAATGTTATCACAGTTAGACAACTTAATGGACCACAGGTTAAGCCACTGCTATGTGTACAGCTCTACATACTAGTGGCACTGAAGGTAAGAGAGATGAAGATGAAATAGAAGGCTGGGGTTGCATCTTTAGTTACTTAATGGCTTGCTTTTATCACTTTTGCTATATCGGCAACTGGGGCTAACAAAGGTTTGGTCTTCAAACAGAACGAATGTCCCAAGAGTTGATACTAACAACTGCATGCATAAGTGTAAAAAGAACAGAGAGGAAATAGATTTTAAGCGATACCAGACAGCTGCCCTATTAAAAACGGCTTAAGACAATTTCATTTACTTTGTTGCTTTAAGTGTATATAAAGCAATACCATACAGACCAGTAACTGTAAACACAAAAAACATTTAAATATATTTAAGTCTACAGTTTCACAAACCTCTATTCTAAAACAAACTGCACAGGAGCAACAGATTAGCCTGTTGGCTATTTAAAGGAAAATACAACCAATTCATTTTATTTCCAGACTAGTCTTTAAGCACAATGACAGTATTTAATTACAATCCAACCCTGGCAGAATGATCTTGCAAAATATTTCTTTTCTAAAGCTATTGCTTGCATTCATATCAGAATATTGGAGGAATGCAGGTTACCTACCTATCATCGACGAGTGGAGCAGCGGGTGACTGTGGCTTTGTTGGGCTGGTAGGGGAAGTGCTATGGGAGAGTCTCTCTTCTAATGTTCCATGATTTCCTTTCTGACCACCATCACCCTCGTATATTTTTTGCTTCAGCTGCTGAATTTCCTGATCCAGGCTATAAAGAGATCTTAAAATGTAATTCGCTTTGTTTTAAAGTTGATTCCCATAGCTGTTATGGGAAGTACTGTACTTACACTGGGATACATGTATGTAAGATTGTAGGTATTAGTACTTATGAAGATATAAAAATATAAAATATATAGCATATTTAGATAGAAAAACAGCTCAAAAACACATTACAACAGCAGTATTAAGTTAAATAAAACAACTTCAATAACTTCCAATGCAAAAGGTATCTAACAGCACATAAAATATTAATTGATAAGACTGAACCTGTCTATTAGGATCACTTGAATAAACTTTCCTAACTATCAGTGACCTCAGTTATTAGCTTCCAGTGTGAAATAAATTAATAAATGGGGGAGGTGGGGTGGGGGAGTGGGTGTTAAAACCTCAAAATACAGCACTAATCCAAAAAAACCAAGGACAACATAAAACAATGATGTGGCAAAACATATCTATAAGAAAATTTTTAAATTCTGTACTATACATAAATCTTATTTTCCAGTTATTCCTTCTGTCTGTATATACATTTTTGAAAATTTACGCACAAAATAAAACATCTAGTATTTATTTTATACATGCGTAATAAATCAACTTTTGAAATGGAAACCTCCGCACTTTCTTTAACAAATAAATTTCATACCAGCCAGATTTATGCACAGAATAGAATATGTAAAATCGGATACCATATTTTTGACTGAAAATGCCTGAGGCATCTAGTATAAAATAAGAAGCACTTCTTGCAACATTTATCACTTAGTCAAATTAAACTGTATTATAACAAAGTAATCTGCAGAACACGCTTTTCACTCATAATGTAGCTGAGATTAGATTAATAACACAGTAATAATCTTTCCCATTTCCATTACAACTTTTGTCTGCAAAGGTAATTGTTTTTCTAGGGGTTACTTGAAAATTAAAGAATAAAAGAAAAAAGAAGTTCCTGCAAAAGCAGGAGAAACTATGCAAAGTTGGAATTCTACCACTTACCCTACAATTGCATATATCTAAATTGAAGTACAATGATACAACTACTTTATTCCATCCTAGAGGTTAAACCAGAAAATTAAAGAGATTACAAATGCTGAGGCTTAGGCTGGAGTAAAGCAGGCTGAATTGTTACTTCATTTTTAGAGTACTTTTTGCTGCACTGCCAGAAGCCATCTGTTTCTTGTGATTAGCAGCAAAACAATCTTGCATCCTGAGGGAAAGCGGATGGGAGATGGCTGATGGATATAGGAGAGTGTTTGCATCTATGGAAAATCAATTTAACCACAAAAATCAGAATTACATTAAAAGGAACAAAGCTTATCTCTTGATTTGTAAACATCCTACTATCAAAAGATATCACTTCCTACAGCTATAAACTTATCCAGCTGTGTGATGCATCCACCAGTAAGTACACTAAACTGCACCTTGCCACTTGTGAGCAATACATCCCGTTGTCGCAAAGATGACTTTGAAGTTGAAGTTGCTTTATGTTCATTCTATTGCCACAAACCTCTGCCAGTAAAGACAAAATGTGTATGTATTATTCCAGTATAAGTTAACTTCAAGTTATCGTTTTGGGGGGTCATCCCTGTAGGTTAAAGAATTTGAGCTAACGTATTATTCCAACTGGAAAAAAAACATTTATCTAGTTATGATGGACTTACGCTCATAGAGCATTTCAAATGCATATTGCATTTAAACATTTTCAGAGAGTTAACACTGATCTGAACCAGAGCACATCATCACATAATGGTATCCATATAAACAACAAGAAACATATACAATTCATACGTTTACTATAGTGCCCAAGACATTGTGCACTGTGAAGTGTAAACTCAAACACAAGAGCGATAAGTAGCCTGAAACATTTAACATACTGTCATGTATCTTAAGATTTTCTTCTGCCTCAACATTCATAAAAACTTTCTGAATTGAATTATTCAGGCCCCTGGGCAATTCACTGAAAGACTTCAAAGTTTTATTTAGTTTGTGCAAGAGGACTTTAAAGTAAACAAGAAAAAAACAACAAGGAAAAAAGAGACCTTTTCACTTCCTTGGTATCTTTTCCAAACCTCAGTCTTGTAGCTGACAACATATTTTTTCGCTTATCACACAACCCAGTAATCTCTTGAGGGCTAAGCTGCCTATTTTTTCTGGAACCTCCAGTTGTTTATAGCTTACTTTAGTCAAGCAAGACGCTTAGTGTAGAAAATGAGATTTTATGTTCAAGACAATTATGAAAAATAATGGCAATATCCACGACAAAATGATAAATCAGTATTGAAAATATTTAAATAAAATCCATACAATGGTACGTCTAAATGTTGAAAAAGTGACCTCTACAGAGGGTATAGAAAGGAACTATTCTGTTCTGGTAATGGTATAAAAGGAAAAGGATACAGAAGAGCTCTTCAATTTGGCTATAGGCAAGTTTCTTTTTTTTAGGTGGTTTTTCTAATCAAGCATCTGTTTGAAGGGCTTATGAAAGAAGAGTCAGATAATTAGTGGAATATTTAAAAAAAAAAGACAAATGCTACCTCAAGAAAAAACATTTCATTGTTTCACCGATAATCACAGGTTTTAAAGCTCTAGTATTAGCAAATCAGACAACACATTTAAAAAGGGCAATTCTGCCCTTTTTCCATACTGCATGGATTAAATGCAATTATCCCAGTAGATTTTTGCTTAGGCCAAAAATAAAACAAAAGATTTCTTCCTCTTCTTCCACATCGAAAGATCCTTCCTTACCTGAATCACTTCTCTGAGCCTCCCATACTTAGGCTGAATGTTATGCTACCAGGTATCACGTGTATAACTGATGACATTGCTTCTGTACCTAAAAGGGTTTGTCATCACATAGGGCTGTATTAAAGCCTCTCTGTATTTTCCAATAAGCTTAAAAACCACCATCAAATTTTACATGGATATATGGCTAGTCTATTTTATTTAGCCCTGAAACCAGTAACAAAAAATTAAATATATTACACCTGTTTACTTTGAATACCAGAAGTGTTCAGTACATCATCAGTTGAGACAGACAGTTGGCAGTCTACTGTAACTATCAGTCTCCAAATCTTGATCAAACATCTAGCTTGTTACTAATAAAGAAACAAAATGTTATATATTAATATTTTGAGAAAAAAGTTGTTAGATGGTACATGTTTTTGTAACGGCAGAACGTAAGGTTGGCTGAGCTTTCTAAATAGGTAAAACAATTTATTTAAGTACTGTGATGGCTAATGCAAATACTATACTGCTGAGGATGGGGATAAGTATCCGAACACAACAGAAACTAATGAGTGAGCAAGAATCCTTTAAAAAGCAATACAGAGTTTCAATTCTGGGTAAACTACGTGAAACTCATCAAGAAACTCAAATAATGGGACACAAACAAGTCTCTCTCTCGACATCTAAGGTATAAAACGATTAGCTTTTTGTGAATAGCTTCTAATAAATGGAAGCTACCACTACACTTACCGTTCTCGGTCTTGTTCAAGGGCTTTCTGCTCAGCTTCTAGACTAGCCTGCAGACCTGCCTGTTCGCTGCAGCTGTTGTTCAAGGTGGCAAGCTTCTGTTTCTGCTCTTCAATTTCAAAGTCTATCGTCGAACGACGTTGCAAAGCAGAGTGCCTCCTTTCTAACTTAGCAACAGCTTGCTCCAGCGCCTCTCTCTGCTGTTTTTCCCTTGATTCGAGGATTTCTTTTTCCTTTTTCCGAACCTTTTCTTCCTGACGAGCTACATTGGCTGTGAATTCAAAGGTTTCTTGAAGCTGCTGCAGCTGATTTGTGCTAGCTCTATACTGGGCAAGCTGCTCTTCTTTTTCTTCTATTTCTTTCTCTATTTGATAGAGAGTATTATCTAACCCTAACAAGCCCCTATCCAGGACTTCAGAAGCTCTTTGTTTTTCTTCCAGCAGAGCTGGCAAATGATTACTCCTCAGGTACTCAAGCTGGCGTACTTTAGATTGGAGCCTGTACTCCGCTGTCTTTATCTTGTCAAATTCTTCAGCCTTGAGTACAGCATCCACAAAGTTTTCATCATCTCTCTTGAGATTTAAATGTTCTTCATGTGCAAATTTTAACTGTTCCAGAGCTGCTCTTTCATCTGCTATTTCCTTTTCTAGGTGATCCATTTGTTGAACTAAATCTTTTTCCAAAATAGTCAACTGTTCCAGTTGTTTCCTTTTAAACTCTATGAAATCATGCTGTGCTTTTTCTAACTCTTCGCAGTTTTCATCACCTTCAGATCGGGCTTCCTTGACTTTCAAAAGAGATTCTCTAATATCTTCAAGATCTCTTTTGTCTTCTTCAACCCTTTGTACATCCCCTCTCTTCAGGAGCTCTATCATGACCTGCTTCTCTCGAAGCTGTTCTTCTAGATGAGCCACCAGCATCACCTGCTCCCTTTCTTGTTCTTCAAGTCTCTTTTTTTCTGATTCCAGTTTAATATACTGTTCATCTTTTTCCTTTTTAAGTTTTTCTAGTTCACGGAAAATCTGCATTTTCTCCGCTTTTTCATTATGATTAAGTTCTTGTAGCCGCTGCAATTCCTCTTTGACTCGGGCAAAAATTTCTTCCTGCTGCTTTTTCTTTTGAAGCTCTATCTCCTGTTGTTCCCGTAATCTCTCTTCTTCAAATTTTTCTTTTTCAGCCAGCAAATCCTTTAACCTGCTCTCAATGTGAACACTTCTCCGTTTCAGACTCTCTTCCTGTTTTCGAATTTGCAGCTGTACTATTTCTGTCTCTTTACGCTGTGACTCTACTTCTTGCTGCATTCTTACAAGTTCTGCTTTGTCAGACCTTTGTTTTTCTTCCATTTCTTCTATTTGTTTCCTACAGTAAAACATTTACATACAACATTTCAAACTTTTCTTTTTTTCTAAAGACAACATATCCCTTAGAAGTTAAAAAGGCTTGGACAAGGATTTTGCAGTATATGTAACGGTTTCTCTTTTTTAATAGTTCTGTTTTGCCACAGGTTAAGAACTTACATTGCTTGGAAGTGACTCAACGCACGAGACAAATGGTAAAGAGATTCATATCGTGTATTTCAACATAAAAAGTTATGGACATATGAACTTAGAGGAAGACATGGTATATAGTACTCATGTTAGTAGAAAATTAGACTGCATTAGTTCTGTCAAATCCAATAAAAATATTGATAGAACACATTCATGCACACAGTGAAGAGTAAATACATATATTTTTGTATGTACATACATTCTCATGTACACAAACTTGCATAAAAGGACTTGATTAGAAATTTACCTCCCCAAATTTAAGCCAACAGATGATTTAAAACAATGTCTTCTCTTTAGGTGAGCCCAACTGAATTATTGATAAACAGGATTATAACATTAGGAACAGACATATTTGAGAGAGAAATTACTTGAAGACAAATTATTATGTCCTGTACAATCTCTCGTTTAAAGGTTCTAGGGCATTCCAAATGAGGACAGACTGAGACTTGAAGGTCACCGTTATCCCCGTAATACAATCACCTGAATAGATGTAGAGACAACCTGCAAGTCATTTGGTTACTTTGTGAGAAGTTAAAGTCAGATAAATTAAAGCATAAACGAAGAAACTTCAGTGCAATATGAATTCAAATCCTATCAACATAACAAAGAGGATAAATATTAGTGATTCTGTTGCATCGTTTTCTGAATAGCATCTTCTAATGCTTCAGAGTTTCAGGGGTTTTCTGAGTTCACTTAACTTAGTCCAACTATATATACAGCTCTTTCAAAATGGAGCACGCAGTCTAAAGCTGAGATGGCAGAAAGTGTCTTTTAGCTTATGAATCTAATCAATGCTGTGATCTGCAACAAGGTGAGAGCTATCACTTCTAAAATCTTAGCAGGTATGATGAGCCAGAACAGTCAGCTCAGGTTGCCAGCTGACAACACCACATTCGTTTGTACACCAAACTGATTTCGAAATAATGTTCTGATGAGTATGATTGGTATGCCCATACCAGCAAGACAGCTTTATTTAAGAGAAGCAGTTTAACATGTGAGTTTTTACATTCAAGATTCAATCCAAAGGCAACTAAACCATAAAAAAAAGATCTGAATAAAGAATGTAATCTTCCATCTTTCAAAATAATACCACGAAAATTAAGTACTAAGTATGAAAATTAAGCGAGAGTAATATATTACATTTGTATAATCTACCCTCCTCATACCTTTGTGGTTTTTTTTTTTTTTTTACTAAAGATCACAGTTAGCTACAATTCAGCTTGTCTATCTGTTACTAATCAATAAGAAAGAACAGTTCAAGAAAATAACCAAAATCTTCATAGAAGACACAAAAAACAAATTTATTTATATCAGGATCCTCTGCTTGATGAGTAACACCGTGATTCCAAAGTAATGATTTAAATGTCTGCAACATGTGTACATACACACACACACACACACACGCGTAAAGACCACAGAGAATATTACCTTTTACTTTCTAATTTTTCAAGCTCCTCTCGTTGTTGTCTCTCAAATTCTAGCCTGATTTAAAAAAAAAGAACACAATGAAAAAGTTATTTCATGAGTATCACAAAAAATAGGAAGATATGATGCAATTCAGTGAAGATTATAACAATGGTACAAATCAAGAGTTTTATAAAACTACTTTCTACAGTAACAGAAAATATTTCCTTCATTAGGGTTACAAATTAGATATCATGCTGTCTGACACGAGTACAAACAGAAAAGTAAATGAATTTCTGGGGGGGAAAAAAAAACTATTTAAAAAGTAAAGTTAAACAAGACAGATAAATGATTAGCATAGCCTCTGCAAGTTAACTACATGCGGACATGGCAATCAATATATAGAAATTGAATTTCTCTACCTTAGACAGATCGGTCCTTTTACAGGGAAAAGACTGCCATGGGAGGCAGGAGTAAACAGAGCGATCAATTAAGAAAGGAATTGATAGAAAAAAAAAACATATTAGCGGTACAGAATATTTTAAAGTCAACAACAGTTTGTTTTATTAGAGGTTAAATTGGTTAGATTCATAGAACATTTGTCATGTTACAACTCAAAAATAAAATTTAAATAATTCTTTATAAACACATTTTTCAAATGTCAATGATGGTTAAATCGATGCTCCTCTTCCTATGGTTTATTAACTTAGCCACTTCTGAGAAGGTAAAGAGCTACAAAACTATGCTACAGCATGCTTGTAGTTCTTCCTTTTCCTCCCAAGAAAAAGAAAAAAGACTCAAACATTACTATGATGTAATCAGTGGGGTTGAATCAAATTCCTGCAAAGTGCAACATCCAAGCACAGAACACAATTCAAACCCATTTATCCAAAATATTTTGATATTTTAATGTATTTAGTTCGATATGGTTCTGAAAAATTATGGGAAAGTATTTCATGCCATTTTTAATATCAGTTCTTATTACAGTTGTACAGAAGTCTTTCTCTTCTTTTAATTGCCTTTCAAAGATTTATGGTTTTTTAAGGAATTTTTTCAAAACAAATATTAAGAAAGCATAGAGAACCTATATATGGATTGAAATATTCAACCAAATACACAAATATCCAGTTATTTTGGCCTGCTACAGCTTAAGGAGTTTGCACGTTAGTGAGACAGTCCATAAACACTGAAAAAATGCAAGGCTGCACCACAAATTAACTTCAAGTTTTTGACAAACTGCAGTTTAAGATGTCATGACCACAATTATGCAGACAGGGTTTTTAAAAATAAGGTATTTTTAGTATTTCTTTCTAAAAAACATACAAATGCCTACAACAAAAAGGAATTGCCCTTGGAAACATGCAAATACACCAATAATCTAATGCTTATAAAGCAAATAAAATGAACTTTGATTCCTACATGCTCAAGAAGCACCTCTCTAACCGCTGCAATACTGGGGAAAGACTAGTTTAACATATTCCATC